TTAAATTGATGCGTTATTTTGTTCAAACATTAGGCAAGGGGTGCAATGAGGAACATTAGTGAGGAGAAAAAGCAAAAAGCACCATAGAAAACACTAAATTTCCCTTAGGAGGCCGGCCGTAGTACGACGGAGAGACACAGCGCTGCGAGGAGAGGGAGAACGCGAGATAGTACGTCGTACGCGAGAGGACGCAGAGACCACGTATGCCGTGGTGGATTACGCTGGCAGCGCGGGCAGCGCGGCGGGCAAGGCCTTAGCGCCATTGCCGCGCACTTTTGGGTCGCGATAGTGTCGCCCTCAGTGCTTGGGGAGCCCACTATCGCACCCTGGGAAGAACTTCTGCTGGTTGCCTAATCCTGACTCGTGGCTTTAAACATGAAAACTGCCGAAAAGATCAAACGACAAGAGTGTTATCCGTGCAAAACTCTGACGCGCAAGCGCGTCGTGCTGTCGTCAATGTGGTAATTCCAGTAGAAAAGCCTTGGTATTGTTCAGGACAGTACAATGGGTATTCCGTGAAGCTACGATAGGCGACGTCAGTAATGTGGTCGACGCTCATTCACGTCATCTGATCGCAAATATCAAGTAATTTTTAGTTGAGATTCGTTTTTTTCGTGGCATTCTTTTTTCCCAAATTGAATACTTTAGTGCCTCACTGTTGAGTACTTGGGTCTATTTTCAGTAATGTAACCGGAAGTAACGCTGGCGAGTATGTCTGTGTCATGAAGAAAGGCAATCAGGAGAAACGCCTAAAGCAAATTATATCGGTTTGCATTTCATTTTTCTTGCCTTTGTGCTCTTGGACTTCCAATTGCAACGGTACTCTTTGTTGTATATTGTATCGCGTTTTAGGTAGTAAAAACGGTAAAACCCTATCATGCGCAATCGGATCCAGAAAAACCCCGGATACTGTACTATGGAAAGTCGGCTGATTTTGATTGCATCATTGAAGGCACACCGAGACCGGATTTCAAGTGGTTGGTTCAATGTTGCATTTGGTGCTTGATTTATTAATATTAGATTTAAGTTGCGAACGTATTTTGTAATGTTCTCGACGTCTTAATGAAAAAGGAGCGCTTCGTTGCCTCCACATTGATAACCATTGAATGCTTTTTGTACCGCTCATGCAAAACAGGGCCGACGTGGACATTCCTGCGATTCTGAATTGAAGTAGGATGCGTGGCTCATCCCAAGAAGGGATCATGCTGAGTGTTTTATCCTTCATCTTTTATTGTGCTCAACGTGTTGTGTTAAGGCTGAAAGATGGTCAACCATATGAAGGAGGTGAACTCTCAGCGGACAATCGGCATCTTCACATCGCTCGAGTGGCAGCCGAAGATAAGGGTGAATTCGAATGTGTGGCAACGAATCGTGCCGGAACAAGTGTATATAAATTCGCTACCAAGGTAAGCAGAAAAATAGCTCTTTTTTTGAAAGGCTTCCCCGCTCATTGGTACAGCACTGCTTGAAACTGCTTGATACTTTCATAATTATACTGCTGCACATCTTCTTGATTTATGGAAGTCAAGCTGAGATTTGAGAAGATTCATGGATGTTTTTACCAAATGTTGGCTGACTTCGTCAGAAAAATTTTCGGGAGTGCATTAGCAAGCACTTTTACGGGGGTAGTTGGATGTGCAATGTGGCAGAAGTGTCGTAGTGGCAAGCAGGGTCAACCGTCCGTTCGAACTGTTCGAACGGGGGGGGGGGGTCGCATTTGTGTTCTGGGAGGGGAGAGGGGTCGCATTGGTCGCATTGCGCGCTTTGGTGATCAGGGGCGCAGGGCATAGGTGCGTGCGAAAAAAGTTGCCGCCGGTTTCCACTGGTTAGTTATATGTACTTATACCCCGCCGCTCGACGGCTATTTTTGGGGAAGAAGTGGGTGGAGTTTCGGAGTTTGTGGGTAGGTTTTGGGCTGTGTCAACTGGTCTCAGAATCAAATACTATAAAAGAGGGAGAGGTCGCGGTGGAGGAAGTCTGGTTGTATTGGGAGGAAACGGTGCGCATTGGGTGCTGGGAGGAGATGCATGGGACCTCTCAGAGGGAAGGGTCGAAACATCCCGAATGTTTCGAAACAGTGACGGTTGACCCTGGTGGAGTACGCACCCTCTACCCGCCCAGAGTTCATCGGTGGCTAGCTGGAGTCCAAATCCGGGGTCCACTCTCACTTAGGCCGAGAATGAGCTCTATCTTTTCGAGGTTGCATAATTGCTTCTAGGCTTATTTGCTTATTTAGAAGTTGAGTAGGAGTAGCATGTAAGATTTGAATCGAATCTATCCCTTTTGAGTGCTCAAACAAATTACTTTATATTTCAACGCTATGTTGCTCTGCCCATCCCTCCCCCTTCCAAATAGCCTACTCATGAGGAAGGTAAAAGGATGATGCCGTTTGCTGCGATAAATTCCCCTTCAGGGACGCGCCACGCATTCCATTTCAATTCAGAATCGTAGTACCTTTGAATGCGATCCATCTGATACAACTGCTTGGGTGGCCAACCAATGTACAGATCAGTATTTCTATTTTCCCAGACAAGTCTGGTACCAACTAATCGGCTCGGGATTAAGGGCCTGGCAAGATTGGTCTGAGCGAGGTCCAGCACGGGATTTGATCTGCGGGTAATGCGCGTAAGGCTGCTTCTCATAACACCTTCACCCTTCACCCAAATATTTGCTGGCCCAGTACTTCACTTTTGTATCATAGAAAATTTCATCGAGCTTTTATTCCAGGTCGATGGAGCGCCTAAGCGGGTATCAAGCTCATTTCTGTTCGTAGTATTCATGTTATTGTTGGGACTACTGTTCTGTCTCATTACAACTGTTATCATGTACTTGAAGCAACGTAAGAAAGCGATTGAGCAGGACAGGTAAGCATTCTCGATTCTGGTTTCTCCTTCTCTTCTTAAATCATCCAATTCAAATTAATCATTCATCTCAAAAGAGAAAAAAAACAAGAATGAACAACAACAAGTTATCGGTTTTCTAGTAAGGTTCTTCATTGTGCAGCTGTGTATAAGATTTAATGGCGCTAGTTTAGGGCCCTTAATGTCCTCTACGAGCAGCTAATGAAAACAACGGAAGGTCCGCCGCCTAGCGGGCCAAAACTTCCACTCGATCAACGTGTCTATCAGTTACCGTATAATCGGCAATTCGAACTTGAACGCGATAATCTAGAAATCGGGAACAGGGTGAGTATTTATATCTTTGACTTCTAGACGAATCAGTGGATTCTTAAAAGAAAATCTCGCTAATGGAACTTCTGTGATTCCTAGGCTGCACTATTTCATTTTACAACAGACATTACTCCTCTGTTTTAGTTGGGATGTGGGCAGTTTGGACAAGTTTGGATGGGTTGGTTATCGAAGCCTCGGGTTACGGATTCCATGGCCGAAAAAGTCCGTCTACCAGTAGCTGTCAAAGGTGCGATCGTTCGATAAATTTAAATGCAATTTTTTGATTTGTTTTAGAAGTTTTTTATGGTCTACTTAGCGCTGATTGAGGAGTTAGCTTGATAGACCGGTTGATGATTAATGATTTATTCATCAACATCCGAATTAAATATATGACAGACTCAAGTAAAAAGCAGATCTCCGATATCAAAAACAAAACTACATTTCCTACTCTACTGGTAAATTTGAATTATACTCTTTCATGATATTTTACTCTTTCAGGTCCATTGGTCGGAACGAACGTGCAACACCAAAAAATGCTAGCTGATGAGCTAAAAATCATGTGTGCTATTGGGAAGCATCCAAACGTCCTCGCTCTCATCGGCGCCATTACAAAAAACATGAAAGGGTAAGTTTCCGCTGGCTACAGTACTTGTTTGCCTATGCGGTAAAATATCCAGTTCCCCGGTCAGTAATACCGCAGTAAATGAAAAAAAACACGGTGCTAACTTAGTTGGGGGGGGCCACGCGGCGGCGCGGCAGTCTGCTCACCTGGGTTCTCTCGAGCGAGACA